TTATTGACACCAGTTAACCTTGCAGACCTCCCACTGGTGTTTGTAAGATAATTAAGTGTAAATAGCAACCAAGAGATCAGCATCGGGTCAGTTTTGTTCTGCCGGAAAGTTACAGCGGCTAGTGACAGACGGAGGGTTGCAGGCGCACAATGGGGGGAAGGTGGAATGTAATCCGAAACATTTTCCCACTTTGTATAATTGCATAAATGTTGAATGATCTTTTCTCCTTTGTGTCTTCCTTTTGTCATGTGGGCGTGAGGTGGGGGGAAATAGCAGTAGGGGGAGAAACAGAGCAAGCAGTGCTGGTTGCGTAAAAAGCAGGACCAAGCTGGTGCAAAGAGGATGGGAGGAGAGAACAAACTGTTTTAAACCGTGTGTTGTTTGAGTGGCAGCCTCTGCAGAAGAGGCGTCATGATGACATGCCACCTGTTCCATGAAATTCCATGAAAACACAGATAAACACCCCACTGCTTTTGACAGAGTATCTCAAGTGTGCAGCAAATACTCTCCTCAAAGGTCTTATAGAGGCCCTCAAGCACTCGTGAGAGCGTAACAGCAGCTGATAAGTGACCAGAAATTTCCAGGTTCAAATCTTGCTTCTGCTATGGACATACCATTTGCCAAAGGGAAGTCACTCCCCTGCGATGCAACTGAGCTCACTTATATGCTTGTTGTAAGGATTCTAGAGATAGATGTATGTAAAATGCCCCAATACTTCACATATATGATGGGATGTGAAGTGCTGAGTAGTAGAAGTCGCAGCAGTTATCTACAGCATCAGCAGCATAGGTAGCATGGTTTTTCTCCAAGAGGCTTGCTCCCATTTCCACGTCCTCTGTTTTATGGAATCATTAGGTGCAGCACCGCAAACTAAAACCCCATCTAATGCTGAACCTTGTGTCCCTATAGATCAGTTGCTATGTGAAGCAGGATTTCCAACATCGAGCCTATTCATTAAATTAATAAATGAAATCGGTGCCTCTGGTTAACTAAGGCAATGGTGTGTGTGCGTTTTTTAAAAAAGGTAGTAAGTTACCAATGTTCCAAAAACAAAACAAATCTTCAGAACTATTGCTTTAGTAGTCTGCAAATCTGATTAACCCCACTTATCTGGGAGTAAAAAGGTAAAGGGACCCCTGACCGTTAGGTCCAGTCGCGGACAACTCTGGAATTGCGGCACTCATCTCACTTTATTGGCCGAGGGAGCCGGCGTACAGCTTCCGGGTCATATAGCCAGCATGACTAAGCTGCTTCTGGCGAACCAGAGCAGCGCACAGAAACGCCGTTTACCTTCCTGCCGGAGTGGTATCTATTTATCTACTTGCACTCTGACGTGCTTTCGAACTGCTAGGTTGGCAGGAGCAGGGACCAAGCAACGGGAGCTCACCCCGCCACAGGGATTCGAACCGCCGACCTTCTGATCAGCAAGCCTCTAAACCACAGAGCCATATCTGGGAGTAAGCCCTGTTAAATTCAATAGGACTTCTAAGTAGTTAACTTATACATTCAGTTTCCTACCTTCAACCACCTAAGTTTTCTTTAATAGGGCTGTAGTCCTATTACTTCAGTGTAGTAGGCTGAAGTATAAAGTAATACTTCAACAGTTTACATTGGAACTAGCCCAGTTAGCAAGACCCAAAAATCTGCTTGGAGAGTTGAAGGGCCTCTTGCACAGGATGCGACAGCAAGCCCACACTTGCCATTGAAAAGGTATACACGGAGCCACAGCCAGCTCTGCAGCACCCTTTCCAGAGGCATTCACGTGCTGCTTTTAAGTATGCTTTTGCAGCATGTTTTGTGTACACCAAACAAAATATAACACGCAATGCAACTCTTAAGGTGAAAGTTGAGAGTGGGCATGTATTAACACAGATGAAATGGAAGGTCGAGAAGGAAGAAATACCTGAGGGGAAATGTCAAAAGTAACCATTAAGGAAGAGGAAAAACCCCTACCTGTGCAGACTTTGTACACAGGTGACAGGAGAGGTCACCCAGGCAAGACACAAATCCAGGCTTTCAGCCAAAGCTGGAAATGCAAGCAAATACCACAGGGCAGTTTTGGTCAGCTGAAGTCAACAAATATACCTGTACCAAATTTAAGTGTTACCTTACAAAATGCAGGTGGGACCCCACCCCACCATACTGCCGCCACAGCAAAGCAACTCTTCAAATGGATGCTGAAGAGTGTGGTCCAATTCCGCCACAATAGGAAGTCAGAACTTTTTTCCATCAGAGAACTGATTTTTGGGGGACATGTTTTGTCGAGATTTTGTAATGGGCCGTTAAGTCCCAAACTGATCCTTTGGCAGTGCTAAGGAGTCTCTGGATGTTTCCTTCATACTGTAGGAAACCTGACTGCATCCCAACGATCAGTGCAGCCCTGTACACCCTGATTCCAAAGCAAGTCCCTCTGTGTTCAACAGCGCTTACTCCCAAGAAGTGTACACACAGGATCACAGCACTTGGAAGCAGTTGACTGATCATAGCCATGTTTACTGAATCTTCTGTGGTTTCCAAAATCAGGTCTTTTTCAATGTAGAAATTGGTCCATCAGAGGAAAGCAGTTCTAGATTGGAGGAAACAAGTAGCCTTTATGGTTACGTGACTAACATTTATCTTTCATGCGAGTAAGGGAAACTCCATGACTAGCACACGACTGAAGCCAAAGTTCTTTTGCCAACTACCCTCCCTCTTTACAATCAAGGAACAGCAGCAAAGCATGATGCTGGTTATGCTTCATGGCAAAACACACCATCCCGATTTAGGCTTTTCTTGTTCCATGTTGAAATCCAAATAATTTCTTGACAGGTGCGTTTGAGTCAAATAAAAGCAGGCTCTGACAGCAACAAACCAGCAAGATACACAATGCTTATGACAGGCTGGGCTGGGGCTCAGTGGCAGCGCCTTGCAGGCAGAAGGTCCAGGGTTTAACCCCTTCTATCTCCAGGAAGGACTTGAGATGCCTTCATCCGAGAACCACAGTATGGAGCTAGATAGACCAATGGTCTGACTCAGCAAAGGGCAGCTTCCTATGCTCCCATGTGTATTTCAGGGACACACCGCACCCTGTCTGCAAGATACCTCCCAGTTGGGAGGCTACACAGAGTGCTTCCAGATGGATGCTTATTGAAGAACAGGTACTGCTAACACATGCACTTCTACGGCATACACCTAGCACTGCCAGCACCCAAATGGCAAACTGTTGCCAACAATGTACTGCAGAATTATTTGCAATATCTGAATGACCTTGTTGCAATATTAAATACCTATCTGGAAGCAACCCATGTCAGTTGTATAGTGTCCTCCTGTTGCCCATTAACAGAATCCAAGCATGTTTGAGAAATAAATGGGGATGCATTCAGGCTCGCACCCTGAGCACCTCTTCAAATGCACCTCTGATTTATCGCATAGATGATACGGGTTACACTTCTTTAGGCTACAAATGTGGTAAACTGTGCAAAACTGGCTATGTTGACTCTTGTGCATTAAACAGTTTTATTAAAGTTATTTAGGAGGAAAGAAGGCTGCAACCTCCTGTCAAACTTCTGACCACTAGGACACTGGACCACACAAGCAGTGTAGCCCTAGAGGGCTTTGGTGGGGCAGCTCCGTTTGACTCTAGGAAGCAGACTGGCACTGCCTTTATGGAGTTTTATGAAAGACAGTAAACCACCAAAAAAATGTATGGAGCAATACTGACAACTTTGAGCAGTAGATGTTCACAGATATGCTTTGTACCACATCCTGGGAAACCCTTTAAAAAAATTTCCAGTTTTGTAGGATGCAGTTTTGTAAAGAATGCCTACTTCCCCAATCTGCAGTATACAGTTAAAGCCAGTAACTTCCAACAGTCATGGCTTCCCCTTGTGAAGGGTGTTCAGAATTGTTAGGAGACACCCTCTTTCCCCTCACAAAACAACTTTGTTATCTAATATCCTACTTCCTGCTCCCCTGCAATTAGAAATCCCTATAGCATTGGGCAAGATTCCTGCATTGCAGGGGGTTTGACTAGAAGACCCTTGTGGTCCCTTCCAACTCCCTAATCCTATTATTCCAGAAAAATAGCTCTACTTTCTGCGGTCCTAGGAAGAAGGGGGTCTAGTTTGGCCTTACCACCCTAGAGTAGTGGGAAACAAGCCTTGCCTTCTGGTGCAAGACCAAACATTTGTTCCATCTCTCATCAGTGGTTCTTGCCTGCTTCAAACTGGAAGGAACTGATCCAGAAAGAGTTGACAGCCTGAACTTCCTTCTTTGATAAAGCAACCAGATATAGCATTCTTGACAAACTGTTGGCACTGTATGAATGTTAAACCACCAGCAGCAGATGAAGACTGTAAAATGAAAGTATAAACTCTAGGAAGTGTTAACTGTTCCGCATCATCTCCTGCTATCAAAAGCAGGGGCAAATGGGTGGCTTGAGTCCGGCAAACAAATTTTGTTCACATGTAACAGGGAGTATCACTTTTCTGACCGCTCCTTGTGCCCAAATCTGTGAGTGATTTAGGGTTCAAAACAGTGATCTTCTGTGTTCCTAGGAGAGGCTATCAATGTTCTTCTATTCATTACTGTAATTAAGTGGATAAAGTTCCCTTAAGCTCACTTGTCTGCCGTTATCCATCTTCCCAGGCATTGTGCAGCCACAGGGGAGTGTGGGGTATTTTCTTGGGAAAACTTTGGCCAAGGACCTGACCCGAACAGTGGGCACAGGGGAGAAGTGCCCCAGAGCCTTCTGCAACGCACAGGTTTTGATGTGGATTCCCTCTGGCGAGGAAGCCTGAAGACCACTCGCCACGTAACAGTTCTGATGCCTACCTTGCTATCAGTGTTAAGTTATTCAGATTGAATTCCTGTGCATGCATACCTGGAAGCGAGCACTACTGAGAATAGTAGGACTTACTTTTGAGTAAACAGGCAAAGCTTGCTTTAGAGGTGAAAGAACTTTAGGGCCAAAAAACAAACACTACCTTTCCCACTAGCATGACACAACATGAGGATAACCGTTTTTTTGTTGGGGAAAAGTTTTTATTATTGTTCTTATTTTACTTCTCTTTTTTCCAAGGATGTGGAAAAAGTGCATGGTTATCCCTCCCCCATTTTATCCTCACAACATCCCTGTGAGGTAGGTTAACTTGAGAGGCAGTGACTGGCCCAAGGTCACCTGGTGAGCTTCATGGACTAGTCCAAGCTTCTAACTGCTCAGCTACGCTGGATACACTACTTTAGAATCCATGGCTTCCTCCTTTAAGGTTCACTACCAAGGCAGACTGCACTTTTCCACCACTGCTGATCAAGTTTGCTTTCTTGTTCAACGCAGGGAAACTCCTTTTGGGTGGCTCGGCACTTCCAGGCCCTTCTGCTTAAAAGCCAGCACCTGTAAAAGGTATAAAACGATGGCAGAGGAGACGAATCAAAAAATGATGGCTCTGAAAGAATAAGGCTGGCAAAAGAGAATGAGGCCAGAATAGCTGTGTTGGAACCACTTGATCTTATGAGCTCCAGCAGCTTGCATAGAGGCCCATGGGCAGCAGGTATTATGGTATTATTGGTATTATGTTCAGGGCTAACAAAAAGGCAGCCTTCTTCAACACGTGGTGTACAGTGGTACCTCGGGTTACAGACGTTTCAGGTTACAGACTCCGCTAACCCAGAAATAGTACCTCGGGTTAAGAACTTTGCTTCAGGATGAGAACAGAAATTGCACGGTGGCAGCGGGAGGCCCCATTAACTAAAGTGGTGCTTCAGGTTAAGAACAGTTTCAGGTTAAGAACGGACCTCCAGAACAAATTAAGTTCTTAACCCGAGGTACCACTCTACTACACTCTCTCTCAATGCAGACTGACATACGATAGTTTGATTTAGACACGTTCAAGGAGGCTAGGACTAGCAGCAGTTGTTTGCCAGGAAAACTAATTCAAACGTGAACAGCCAGCAAAGCAATATCTTGTAGAAGTCAGAGGAAGGCGACCCACATCTGGCATGAGCCTCCTGAAGCATCTCACTGGCTGCTGGTAGACTAGATGGGCTCTCAGTTCTGACCCAGCAAGGTTGCTTATGTTCGTACCCCAGTCCAACCTCTGCTGCTACTGCAGATGTTTATATTGCTGCAGCCACACTGTTCCACCTCTTCATTTGGGGGAAAGAGAAAACAGGTGGAGCAGCCAGCACCATCCTTATGGGCTGCTCATGCAAGGGCTGGAGATGCAAGCAAGTGCTTTGCTCCCAGTAAAATCGGAGTGGTGGGCCAAAGCAAAGCATCCACACTGAAAACTGCTTAACACAACAGGCCGTTTAATTTCTACAACAAGCTACTTGAGTACAGTGTGTTACTAGAAGCACTTGGTCAAACACTACATGATTTCATGCCGAAAAGGAAACCAGAAAGGCCCCCCAGGTAGGGGTACAGGGGACCTGCCAGAGATCAAGGACTGCTGCAAAGAAAGCTAATGGTATTTTCAGAGACCAACATAAAAGTCTAGCAGTGAAATCTGAATGGGCAACACAGCCAAGGACCAAGAGCTGCAAAAAATGTTAACTATGAAATGGAGTCCTTCAACCAGTTATTTTCGGTCATGAAAATAGAAATAGTCCAGCTTACTTACCCATAAAAAAAAACAACTCCTCCGTTCTTGAAATGCATTCTTCTCTTACAGCTGCACCTGTAGCAAAATAAAGGTTCTTCATTTTTACCTTGCCCTTCAGGTTTTTTGTGCTCAATGTGAAAGAACACCAAAACCCAGAAGTTTCTCAATGTAGGCAGTAAAACCATAAAAAGATCACTAAACATTAACAGCAAAAGCAGAGCTAAATGGCCTCAAGGAATGTGTTGCTTTTTAAAAAATAATAATAATAAACCCTGTTTCATCCTCAAACTATTTGCTTGTTATTTCGCTTAAACTAAGTTTATGTCATATAGCAGTGGTGTCCAAACTTTTTCAAAGAGGGCCACATTTGATGAAATGAAGGGCCATGGGGGCTGACCTTTTTTTAGGATTGAAGTTGTTGAGCATTTTTATTATTATTTTACCCCAAAGTTGTTGAGCTTCTTTTAGGATTTAAGTTGTTGAGTTGTTGTTTTTAGGATTTTACCCTAGGAAATAAACTGCCACAGGGGCCGGATTAAACCGACTGGCAAGCCGGATTAGGCCCCCGAGACGGACTTTGGACATACCTTTCATATAGAAATGCTTCGGCATTCATGTTGCCCACAGACATTCACTCTTTGACAGATGTTTTGTTACCCTCTCTGTGCCAACATGTGTATGACATGCTAGTCCTTTGATGCTGTAAAAAGTGATCCAAAACTCCATTACTAACTTGACACCAGCACTTCTTGCGCCTTACAAAAGTCTGTCTCCACTTGTGTAGTGCATGCGGTCTATAAAGAGTTAACAGTTTTAGGATTTATATCCCTCAACTGATTACACCCTCTAGTATAAACAGCCCTGAGACTATGCCAATAATGTGACATTTAAGACACCTACACATGGCACAACAAGAGCGATTATGTTCAGGGCATCACTGCAAGGCGTTTGCATCAGGCATGGCATTTGCTTTAACAAAACTGTCGCTCTTCCCCTGCAAAGATGTGCATACAGAGTCTTCTACTCGCCCGCCTACTGCTGGGTGAGAGTCCTAACAGAAAGCTTGGCTGTTCTGCTTTGTATCCTGGGCTGATGGGCTTTTGTTATTCCCCAGGCAAATGGTCAGAGAAAAGAAACAGCAGCAATCATATCCCAAGAAGGAATTCTTTGAAAAGCAAAAAAAGCAGGGACACACTGCTTACCAGGGCATTTGCAGTTAATGGAGAGGCAACTTGCAGGCAAAGTTCCAAGGCAAAACAAGAGATCCCTCTACTTCGGTCCTATAATATCATGGCTGAAGGGCTTATATGATTCCAAGGAAGCTTGCAGGAAAAGACATCACTGCATGATGGAAAAACTGGTCTATGTTCTCCCCACCATTTTTTCGCCTCTTAGCTGTAACTGTAAAAGACCAGAGGGAATTAGGTGATCAACAAGGCCTCTTCTCCAATGAGAAAGCAACAACCGCTTGCTATATGCTTAATTGTGGAAAGTGCACTCTGTACTTAAGTGTTGTGCCCTACCACCCTCTCCCAGCCATAGAGGACGCAAACTATGTTCAGGACACCCTGTGGCACCCTGACAGCTTATCAGAAGGTTCACAGGGAGAGGTTTAGTGATGGTGGAAAGCCTACGCAGGAAAACAATTGGCTCATCAACATTACCAGCCTGTGCAGCCACAGGGGAATGCTGGGTGTTCGAGGGTGTTTGTGCATGTGGTTTGTTCAGGGTGGCACAGAGGCCCAACAGTTAGAGCAGCACCCCATGTGAAGAGTTTATGCTCCAGAACCCCCTACAATGCTCAAGAGTTTTATGGCAGACAAGCAGATGCAGAAAAGGCTTCTGTGACCCCGAAGATACGGCGCTGTAAAGCCGATCAACTTAGTTCTCAAACACAAGGAATTTCTTGTGCTGCTGAGCCAAGGCCTCTTCTTCCAGTCAACAACACAATAAAAGCGGCAGTAGAAAAATGGCATTTTCTTTTGCTCCAATGATTTTAGTGCTGCAAGGAGGCCAGGCAGCTCCTCCTTCTATGTCAAAATACTGGCACAAGGAACATTCAGTTTTGTCCATCCTGTTCCCAGCCAAGCATACATTAGCTCTTTGCCTTCAGATATATGAATTTCTAACAGATTCAAGAAACTTTAAAACTAGACGAAAGATTGTTCTCCCTTCGACTGGCATCTTTGGTTACTGTAAGAAGGGAGCTGGTGTTGCGAAAGGCCCGCTTTCAGAAACCCTTCCATCTCAAATCAATGCCAGAGAAGGAAACTACTGGAAAATGTAGACCAACAGCTGAATTTTGAATCATGATGCTGCGGGAAGGATACAGCGGCCACACCTATCTCAAAAGAAATCACCCCTACTGAAGACAACTGTGAGATGGCAAAGCGGGCAAGCCTCAGTGAATATTTATTTTCCCTCATAGCTGAGTTTTCAGACAGGGATAACATCACATCACAGGCTTTTAGGAGTGTGACAAACAAAAAAGCCAACATCAGGACTGATCTAAAAAAGCTGTAAGTTCTTCAACTGTTTTCCTGTGGTGCCTAAAATATATTCAATCTTTCCTCCAAGGCTACATACATGGCCTTTTTCCCATAACAACCCTGTGAGGTGGGAAAGAGACCGACCCAAGGTAACCCAGGCAGTTTCATGGCCATGTTGAGGACCTGAACCTTGGTCTCCCCAGTTCTAGTTTGGCACCTTGCCTATTACACCACGCCAGCTCTGAAATATGCAAAGTTTAGGGTGTGATGACTTTTCACTTTGTTTCTCAGCAACCACCTGTTGAGATCATGAAATTGCATCTTCTGCCTCCATTTAAGAGTTCAGGATTTTTCCATATTTTCCAAAAAATTAAAAAGGATCTTAAAGTGCAAACGTTTCTTTGGTGTTGGCTGATGGATGGATTTTGCCCCCTTGAAGAGGATTTGATTGTTGTGTTAAAATATGGAGGCCGCTGGCTTAATGTTGAGGCATTAAATCAGGGTAACCTTTAAGCCCTTGCCATTTCTATGAAACAAGCAAGTCCCGCCCAGGATTTCTCAGTCATGTGATGTTGTGGACAGAACGGTGGGCTTCGACTAGCAAGACCCAAGTATTATTTCCAACCACTTGCATTGCTTAAAATGTCACAAATAAGCATTTACACTTGATTTAGAGGCCAAAACCTAAACCCCATCCAGTCATAACTTCTCAGGCTTCACTGAAATGAGGGAGTCTGGTCCTTGGCAACTCACATTCCACTGACATGAAGGGATTATCAAATTTGTCAGAAGCCAAACAAATGAATAAGCATTACCCTGAGCTCCTTACCCTGAGCAGCTGTTTCCAAACTGACTTCTGAGTCCAGAGGCAAATGGTCTGCATCCTGTGGAGCCAAACATATCAATTTTATTTCTTCATTTTGCTTTTAAAACTTGCACACTGCTTTCAGACAGTTTTCTTGAATAACAACTGAATCACAATCCCCATGACAATTTATTATTCAAAAGGAACAAGAGTCCAGTTTGGAGAGAAAGGGCTTCAGCTTGTTACTAGATAAAAAATATGATCTTGTCTTTGAGAGTTCATCTATTCTGGGCAAAATGAGGACAATGCGGAATTAAATCAAGACCCAAATTTAATTCTAGTGAATTCAGCAGCTTCATTTCAGTCCTGGGATAAACAAGACATTTAGAAAACCAGACATTCCAGTTTGTGGCACAAAGTTATTCTGCTCAACGTACGTTGGGGTGGTGTTGTACACACAATTTCAGATACCTGGGATTTCTGGCTTACTAAGGTTCACGTAACAGGATTCTAATGGGCACTTTAAGAACTTCAAATACCACCAAAGTATCATATATTTCTTATTGCAATCTACTCAACCAACAAGCCTACTTCCAGTTCTACAGCAAACATATTGCAAGGGAATGTAGTGATGCAAACAAGCCATGGCAAGTCTTCGGCTTGCACACTTCTCCCTCCCTCTTCCTTTTGCTGCTGAAAGGAGATCAGATGCATCTACTTTTAAACCAACCACAGTTCCCATTATGCTCAAAGTTGGGAAGGTGTGCCACAAAAGAATGGGGATGCGAGGGGAAGTGTGCAAACCCACAGCTCATCTTCACATGGGATAGCAGCAAGTCGTAGATTACTGCTGTGTCTGAATCAGGCCTAAAGCTTGTCTTCCAAAACATATTTGAGCAGTAGTACTTTGACAGTTAATCCACCATCTGCTTTCCCCAACTGGATTCATCACTGACACGTCTGTCCAGCTCCAGATGAAAGTAGACGTGACTTTAAGCACATTTTTGCATCATGCGCTTGCAACTGTCAACATCTTTGTTTACAAAAACAATTGCAGGGCCATGGATGGTTAATGCTTTCCTCCAATGTCATTTTCCAAGTGAAAATTCCCCCACCAACTCCCCCCCCAAAAAACCCACCCTATACACAAAGCTATTATGTCACAATTTTAAAAATATTTAAAGTTGGGGAAACAGTGCAAGGTGGAAAAAGTTAAACCTCTTTCCCAATCCTCATCTGCATTCCTCTGCAGCCCCTGGCTGTTTTGTCAACAAAAATTAGTAGGCTGTTGCAAAAAAACCACACCCCTGAATTAAAAAAAGTGCTCTAAGTCACGTTTAGTTTGATCCTCACTCTTCCCAAGGAATGGCCCTAGATGATAATCTGCTAGTTGCAGCATACCAAACTGTTGCCATTGTGTTCATCTGCACATTAAGAGCAGCATCAAATTTCCACTATATTAGCGGAATTCATCTTTACTTGCTTCAGAGCATTCAAACAATGTGGGCCAGCAGACAAAGCACACCTTCTTTTACAGGGGAAAAAAATCCCTTACATTTTTGTGTGTGCGCATACTTAACACTCTGCAAGAAACATCCAGCCCAGAAAGTATTTTACATGTCCTAGGGGTGCTTGTTGGAATCCCAACTTTGCACAACCAATGTCATGGAGATGAAGGACAACTATTTCAACATGAAGCTATCTTATATTGAATCAGATCATCAGTACATCTAGCCCAGCATTTTTTACTCCGACTGGCGTTGGGTAGATTTTAGAGACGTGCTGAATTTCTGAATGAACGCTACTGGCCATAGGAACATACTGAATTTTTGAATGACTACAGGAATGCATCAAGTCAAGAGGGATGTGTTGCCTATGTGGGGATTTTCAGGGGCCAAAATGACCAAGCAGAAAACTACTGCCCTTCCAAATGGCCACAGCAAGGCATTGGGCAAAGGCTGCATGCTGTCCAATCACCTCCAGTTATTTCTACCCTCACCTGCAATCAAGAAGAGTTGCAAAATGGTGATAGGTATGTCAAAGTCTCCCACTCATCCCTACAAACACTTGACAACGCACTTGGTATTTTATGCAAGGATATTTAACAAGATACATCCTATGCCAGTGACCATTTGGAAGGGCAATCTTTTGACATTTAAAGATGGTCACCCACCCACTCCAAAAGAATAAAAAATAGTGTGTAAACAACTAATCACATTTGATTAATTCATTCCAATTGCCATTCGGAAATTGACTATAACCCTATAGGAATCTGTGCATTCTAGTAGCCTTCCTCATTTTAGCACATTGCAAGACTTTATTATTATTTCATTATTTATTAAACAAGGTCCTTTTAAGTGGCTTGAACTTGGGACCTTCTGTGTGCAAAAGTACTAATTTGGATTACACAATAGCAACTGTGTACACACTCTTCTGAGGAAGTCACACGCAGGAGTAGACAGAACTCAAAGTCTCATATCGGATCAGTCAGGCTCATGGGATTTTATACCTGCAACCATAAAGAAATGAATCAAGCAACCAACAAGACTGCAGGCACACGCTTACCATTGTGCATATGAATCAGATAACCACACGGTGGCTAACACAGGCTTCATTTCTTTTCAAGGGACGTGGTCTCAGGTGTTTACATCTCAACACAAAGAAACTTTGCGTCTTCTTGACTGGTTTGCTTGAAAAATCACATGCAGCCTGAGAACGGGAGAAGTGAAAGGTTAGGGACAGCGGTACAATTCAGCTATTCTGCAGCTTTCAGGTTTCCCTAGAGCTGAGCTTCAGAATCGACAACTCCACAATGAGAAAGATTTCCTTTTCAGACAGGGATAACTTTATATCATCACAAGCTCAGCTCTGGACAACTCTGGCAAAATGCACATGGTAAAAGCAACTTCATTTCTCTTCCTAGTGGCGACATCTAGCGGACAATGCACAAAACCTACCTGGGGTGGGCATTCCCCCCCCTTGACTTCAAGGGGTGGTAGGTATCCAGTGCTGGCCAGATACAGAGTAAACCCACAGAAAATAAAACACATGACTAAGTTGGCTCCATTAATTTCAGTGTGCCTACTCTGTATCAGACCAGATTGTCTCCCCTTCTATACCCAATGGATCACTGCTCTCTGCAGGCGAGGGCCTCCTGCAGATCCCATCTTATCAGGAGATCTGCTGGCATGGACATTTAGTGTGGTGGCACCTTCTCTTTGAAATTCCCTTCACTTGAATATTAGACAGCTGCCCTCTCTGGTTTTTTCAGCACCTACTAGCTGCATCTGTTTTGAACAAGTTTTATCACTTGTTGCTTTCTCCCCTGAGCTCCTTTAGAAGGGAGGGCAGAATATTAATCTTGCAAATAAATCTTACAATAATTTGTTGGGGACCACATAAAGGTAAAGGGACCCCTGACCATTAGGTCCAGTCGTGACTGACTCTGGGGTTGCGGCGTTCATCTCGCTTTATTGGCCGAGGGAGCTAGCGTTTGTCCGAAGACAGCTTCCGGGTCATGTGGCCAGCATGACTAAGCCGCTTCTGGCGAACCAGAGCAGCACACGGAAACGCCGTTTACCTTCTTGCCAGAGCGGTACCTATTTATCTACTTGCACTGGCGCGCTTTTGAACTGCTAGGTTGGCAGGAGCAGGGACCGAGCAACGGGTGAGCTCCCCGTCGCGGGGATTTGAACCGCCGACCTTCTGATCGGCAAGTCCTTATGCTCTGTGGTTTAACCCACAGCGCCACCCACGTCCCTTTGGGGACCACATACTGGCAATCAAAAACAAGCAAGCTGCAGCCAAGAGATCACCATCCTCTTCTCTTTGCATCCTCTTTTCTACTCTCCTTGCCAACCACATGAAATTGGGGCCAGGATGGGCTCCACACCCTTCACACAAAATACATGAGGGCAGGGAGTGAAGAGGAACTTATAGGATCTGTAACTTCTTGGTACTGTACTTAAAAGAATGCTCGACAAACCTTACCTATACAAAAATACATTATGTATATTTCAAGCAGGAATGCAAACAAATCCATAGTTTTTGCAATTCCCTGCTCTTTCCCCTTAACTTTCTGCAACCAGTACAATATGCACCCCAAAATACACACCCCTTTAAATCAACCAACTTGCTCCAATTGGGACCAGAGGCTCGTAAAGCACAGGCCAGAGTGGCTCCATACTCGCCCTCCTCTCGTGTTCTTCTCCTGCAAGAAAATAAAGGATGCGATTCAAAACGTTTAAGGCTGTGCAACTCATCAATACACTCGTCTTTCTCAACCTACGAGGGGGGAGGCTCGCTTTACTGGCCTGCTACGCACCAACAACCCGTGTAGAGTCGGGGGGGGAGGCAGTTAAAATCACAAAAAAGCTAAGACAGAAAGGAGCCAACCAATAAATAAATGTTCCTGGCTGTGCACAAGCGCCCCCGGGACACATATCACAAGCTCACTTCTGCTTAGGAGCGGCAGCCGTAGAGGATTACAAGTGATCCTACGGAGAAAGTCCGCGCTACTCACCATCACTGCACCTCTGAAGCCGGTAGCAAGGAAAGAGAAAGCAGAAGCGCCTGCGCAAACTTTGACCGAGGTTTCCCGCGGGCGGGGGAAGAGCTCCTCTCGCGAGACCGAAAGCTCTTTCGGGAAATGTAGTTTTTTAGAACTTAAATCCTCCGCTTCGGTACAGATGCAAATACAGTACTGTACTCTCGAATGCTTTTCACTGAACTGTAGTTTAATTAATGCAGCCTGCAGAAAAACAGCCTCACCGCCGTTTCAGAACTTGCCACCTCGTTGGGGCAGACCCTAAATGCACTAAAAACGAAAGAGCAAGACCTGTTATAAGAAGATCATTGAGGCTTACTTCTGAGTAAGAGCGTTTATGATCCTGCCTAAGCAAATACTGCGGTGCAACTGACAGGAACAGCATGTGTGATTCATCAGAGTCGAGCTTGCTTTTCCCTTTAGCAAAAACTAAATATTCATAATTGTACAATTACTGTTTTGTACAATTATTATTTTGTATAATTGTTATTTTGTATAGGCACAGACGTCCTTACTACACATATCAACGAATCATGCTTATTCAGAGTGAGTCCCAGTGATTGCAATGTGGACTTAAATGCAATCTTTGAATATTTACTCAAAAGTAAGCGCTTCTGAGCAGTGGCGTAGCGTGGGTTGTCAGCACCCGGGGCAAGGCAAGTAATTTGCGCCCCCTAACCCGTGGATTTGCGCCCCCTAACCCGTGGATTTGCGCCCCCTAACCTGTGGATTTGCCCTAACCCCAGATGTTGCGCCCGGTGCGGCCAGCCCCCCCTGCACCCCCCACGCTACGCTACTGCTTCTGAGTGTGGAGGGGCCACATTCTCCAGTGAATGGGCACTAGGTTCTGCAGTTTGAGCAGGGTAGCCTTTGTTTCATTTTCAAGTTGATGGAAAGGAACATTCACAAATAAAAAGAGTCCTACTTGATCAGACTAAAGACCCTTCAAGTCCAGCATCCTTCTAGTTCTCAAAGAGGCCAGTCAGATGCAGGTGGGAAACTCACAAGCACAAGAGGAAACTCACAAGCACAGGAGCCAGTGTGGTGTAGTGGTTAAGAGGGGTAGACTCGTAATCTGGGGAACCGGGTTCGCGTCTCCGCTCCTCCACATGCAGCTGCTGGGTGACCTTGGGCCAGTCACACTTCTCTGAAGTCTCTCAGCCCCACTCACCTCACAGAGTGTTTGTTGTGGGGGAGGAAGGGAAAGGAGAATGCATTTGCCACAAGGGTGTTGGTTAAAGCAGACACTTGAGCAGGACTGGGTGTTCCTCATCCCAGCTAGAGCATGTACCTGCATTACTTTTCCTATTGCTTGATATTATTACAGTGGTACCTTGGGTTACATACACTTCAGGTTACAGACTCCGCTAACCCAGAAATAGTACCTTGGGTTAAGAACTTTGCTTCAGGATGAGAACAGAAATCGTGCTCCGGCGGCACAGCAGCAGCAGGAGGCCCCATTAGCTAAAGTGGTGCTTCAGATTAAGAACAGTTTCAGGTAAAAAACGGACCTCCGGAATGAATTAAGTACGTAACCAGAGGTACCACTGTATTATTATTGCTATACAACTCCATGCCTCGTAACTTTCCTGCAGCGGTGGAATTGGGATGTAGAGCTTCATAATGATTGGAGATCCAAGTGAAATAATATATTGCATCCAGGGCAGCAATCCCTTGCCATTGAGAGACTGTTCCCCACTCTCCCAGCACCATCCTCATGGGGATAGTGAGGTGTGCCTTGGCCCCATCTAAAGGTAGGTAGGGATATGGTAAGTGACTTGGTAAGTAAGGCAGAGATGGCAGTGGAAGATGAAGCTATTTGAGGCATCCAGTTAAGAAGACTACTGACAGCATTAAATGATGAACCGGCAAGCAAATCAGGATATACAGTGCATCCATTTGGAAATGCACTTTTTCCTGATTCTGGAATATTTTGTCCAAATTCTGCTGCTTGAAGCTTGAGCACACTTCTCCACTAGGGGGTGCTCCAGCCACACACAAACTTTTAGCAGCAGACCTTGGCTAACATTTCAAGGGGAAATGAAATGAACAGTCTTACTACATCCCTGCTGAAGGACATCACAAGCAAATAAAATCTAGATTGAGCTTTTTTATTATTAATTTAAAAAGTCACCTGTAAGCAGGACTCTTTAGCAACTCATCCATATCTGACCAAATGAGAGAAAGGTATAAACTTGGCTATTCTACATTACTGTATACAGTGGTACCTTGGGTTAAGTACTTAATTCGTTCCGGAGATCTGTACTTAACCTGAAACTGTTCTTAACCTGAAGCACCACTTTAGCTAATGGGGCCTCCTGCTGCTGCCGTGCCGCTGGAGCACTATTTCTGTTCTCATCCTGAAGCAAAGTTCTTATATGGAAATGGATTTTGCATAGCATACCCTCAAAATGTAGCAACGCTGAAGGAAAATTGGTACACAGTTACATTTTAATGGTACTTTTATGCATTATGCCTTGTGAAAAGGGATCTTTCTCAGCCCCACCTGGAGATGCCAGGGATTGAACCTGCGACCTTCTGCATCTCAAGCAGGTGGTCTGCCGCTGATCTACAAACCTTCAACTTGGGGGTTGAGGGATTTTTTTCCTACAAGGTCATATGCTTGCAGCCCAGACCCACCACATTCATTCTGGAGACTGATAAAATATGCCCCCCATTCCATACTTGGACTTTGATGCTATATTTAGTAGTAGTAATAGTAATAGTAGCAGTAGCAGTAGTAGTAGTAGCCCCAGCCTAGTAGCCCCAGGTTGCTCCAGCCATTCTGGGCAGTTTCCTACAAAAATAGAGGGGGAAAGGAAGGGGGGGGCATTAAGCATTAGAAGCTTCCTGAAACAGAGCTGCCTTCAGATGTCTATGAAAAGTTATATGGTTGTTTAACTCTTTAACCTCTGCTGGGAGGGCATTCCATAGAGTGGGTGTGACTACCGAGAAAGCCCTTTGCCTGGTTCCCTGTAATTTTGCTTCTTGCAGTGAGAACCACCAGAAGGCCCTCAAAGGTGGACCTCGGTGTCCAGGCAGAACGATGGGGGTGGAGGGAGATGCTACAGTCCAGACATTTCCTTGGTTCTCTTTATTATTGTAAAAATTGATTCTCACTTAATATTCTGAAAGTGGGGGGTGTCATTTTGCAACTTGTCTGAGTACACCTTTTTTCCAATGCTTAAGAGATTGATGGGTCAAGCAAGTCTGCAGAGAAACCATTAGGTTGGGTGGGCTAACCCTGCTGTGGCTGGAGACAGATGACAAGTTTTTGCAAGACTGTTAAATATGTTGTGTTAGACTAGAGGCATGTTCCTTCTTCCCCTCTCACCCCTAAATCTCACCAGTTCTTCCTGTTCCCAGCACCTGGCATAACAATTTCTACCCTCCCCTTAACCTCCATCTTCCTCCCTCTCCCAGCCCACAGCCTTGTTTGTCCCCTGTCCCCTGCCCCCACCCTGACACATCCTTTAACCTTGCAATGCCTGTGTGTGTGTAAAATGTGTCTTTGTGGGACTGGGTGTGTGATTGTGCACGTGTATTTGTGTGTTTCCCTGGCAGACTAGAAATCCATTAAATAATAACAAAACAACTACAGCTGCATCTAACACAGACGCAGCTTTGGATTTGGACCAAAAGGAGGATGTGTAAACACCTCACAAACAAATCAGGATGATTGCAGGATGGCTGCTCAATGTCATATAACCTCCCCACAAACAAACCAGCATGAATGCTCAATAAAGGCTTGATGTAATCTAAGCTCTGCATAAGCTTTGGGCAAGCAAATCAGAACGATTGCTCAATAAACAGGTCATCTGGAGGGGTGCTTATGTTTAAAACTGAAGCAAGGGTGGAAGATAACAATGTTTTGACATACAAATATTTATTCTGCTCATCATCACTTGACAGGCAGCCATTACTTTTAACAAGCAACCAAAGTCGCCTCATATCAGCCTTGAGGATGTTCCTTAAGCCTGAGAAAACACAGAAACAATTTTAGTGCCACAGAGCCCAAGATAATACTCACGGTTAGGGCTTGAATCGGCTTTTTCTCAAATAGGTCTGCAATGTGAATGTTCCACCTACAATGGCATATTGGATTCCTCTTTCATGTTCAGTACCTGTACCAGGGGTATCAGAAGCAAAATATTGCATTGTGGAGTATTAAGGATGCCTGCCAGCCACACCCTTTTCTCTGGAAACGCCATTCCATTTCCTTTCCCCTAGTTTTTGCCTCTGCCCATCAGTTGGTCAACTGAAGAAGAAAATGGGCTCAATATACAGCAGCAGTGGCTCTCTAGGTATTTGGACAGGGAGTCTTTCATAGCCCTATCTGGAGATGCTGGGGATTGAATTTGGGCCAGGTGGCGCTGTGGGTTAAACCACAGAGCCTAGGACTTGCTGATCAGAAGGTTGGCGGTTCAAATCCCCATGATGGGGTGAGCTCCCGTTTCTTGGTCCCTGCTCCTGCCAACCTTGCAGTTCGAAAGCACGTCAAAGTGCAAGTAGATGAATAGGTGGGAAGGTAAATGGCGTTTCCGTGTGCTGCTCTGGTTGGCCAGAAGCGGCTTAGTCATGCTGGCCATATGACCCAGAAGCTGTATGCCGGCTCCCTTGGCCAGTAAGGTGAGATGAGCGCCGCAACCCCAGAGTCGGCCATGACTGGACCTAATGGTCAGGGGTCCCCTTTACTAAAGGAGAAGCTGACAGAATCGTATCACGCTTGCTCCTTCGCAGAGTGCTGCCTCTTGCAGTTTATTTATTTTTTTAAAAAAGGAAGGCTTACTTGGAGCCTTGGGATTGCATTGCAGCATTTCAGGACAGCCTTCCCGCAGCGATCATCTCTTTCAACATATGGCCAAAGTGGGTAAATGGGTCGTGAAGAGCTCAGTGCCTCCACGATGACAGCTCCTTCAGGCAGCAGTCCAGAGGGAAGAATGGATTCCAGGGTCAGGAGAAACCAAACTACTGGAGCATAGTGGCTGGGTAGCCTGGAGGTTTCTAAATGGATACATCTGCTCTCAAACAGCAGGGGCTTCTTGATCTGAG